TCTGAAGATTCCCAATAAGGATGAAACCAGGAACATGGCGCCTCCTGGTGATCATTGTAACTAATACCATGGACTATCATTGCTCATCCTCTTTGTTCTGCTTGGGTGTAGGGCTTAGCAAATCAGAAAAGTTCAAAATGGCAAGCAAAATGATTTACCTCTAGTATTATTTTTCAGTTATTGCACCAACTTATATCCTTCAAGACTTTTGAAATTGCGCTTGAAACATTTAATATTATTTAGACCATATTTGAATTGGAGTTCAACACTGTGTGTAGAGCTACATGATGCCAATCCCATCAGTATAGTAACATACTGATATACACTATAGTAACATACTGATAATGTACAGTATAGAAACATTCTGAATATGGAATGTAAGCAATGCTGAACTGAAAAGTGCATGTGGTTATTGTAAATATTTTTACCTTCTCAAACATTCTCTAGATAGTCTGAAAGTGGAGTGTGTGTCAGACAACAAGAGTACACTCAAGCAGCCAGCTGAATGCGCTGTCAATTTCATTGGATTACATATTGCATAGATGAAGAAAGGACCACATCCAAATGTATCTAGGTATTATCAAATATATCAATAGATAAATCTAAATTCTGTGATGTTTCATACTGCATTACTTTCAACTGAGATAGATGTATCAGTGTGACAGTAGTAATGGATCACTTCAAATCTTTCATTCTCAATCAGAGTTTTAGTCTTGCTAGCCATTTAGCAAAATAATCCAAAAATGCTGCACAAGAAGACAGAAAGTACCATCTTGAATCCCAAAATGCTGCCATTCACATACATGGCAACAAGAATATTTCATTTGCATTCAGTGATAATATCTGATTGGCTAAATATCTTTGTGACATCCCCATTTAATGCATGTTTCTTGACTGGCTTAGGTAATACTCTGGAAACTGCTTTCAAATTTTGGAGAGAAAATAACAGGTAAACAGCCACTGGGAAAATTGGCTTCAATGACATTAACCATATGAGAAACAGTACAAAAATTATTTTTACAGTTTTGTGACTGTCATAAACAGTAGCAACCTTCACACAGTAGTCACAAAAATATGGATACATAGCCAAACATAAAGTCACTGGTGTTTTTTTTAATTATTTAGATGTATTATTAGTCACTTCTAGATAATGTATATCAATCTTGCAATACTATTATGGTTTATGGAATATTCTCACAATATTCTGGAAAATTTGTGGTATTTGAAATTTCTGGTATATTACAGCTATTTTTACAATTAAGCTCCCTTCCTTCTATATGACTAATCAAGTTATTTTAATTTTTAGATAGATATGTTTTTACTTTCTATGGAGAAAAAAATAGTGTACTTGAATATTAATTACAGTCTTTTATTTTCTGTACTGAATTAAAAACCTGTATCATCATTTAGAGTAGATATTAAATGAGATTTCACAAACTCTAGTATTTAGAGTAGCAAATTAGTTGCTGATGAAAGTGCTTGCTAAAAATAGTTTACTATTAAGATGCCAAAATTGCAGCATGTGGTTTGCTATGTAATTGATGTATCAGATTGTTAAACCATTCTGGTACAGTATGTAAAGTATAGAAGACAAAAGGATTCCTACTGTACTTCTTGAGTTTATTAAGTAACCTTGAAAATCTTTTTCAAAGAATGTTGTGAGAGACATTTGGTAAAAAACATGAGAACTAAATACTTTTGTTTAAAGGAATGCTAATCTTGTCATCATCAGCAGTTGGGTTAGTGCAATATTCTGTTCCTCTCTCATGGGGGTTAATTAGTCTTCTTTCAAATTGTGGTGTCTTTATGTTCAGGTTCACATCATTCAGCTAGAGTTAGTTGTATAATGCAGACCCACAACAGGTGGGTGTGTCTAACAGCTTAATTAGCCAGAATAAAAAGGTCTTTTGTCAGATGTGTTGCTGGTGACACACCTGACAGTTGCAATAGGCAAGGCTAGTTAGACTGAAGTTCAGCTCGTCACTCCTGCAGTCAAATACAGTTTGTTAACATATGGACAGGGTGATTATTAAACAGCAGGGAGATTATTTAGCCTTTCAGAATAGATTAATCTAACTGCCTTCGTTGTATGAACAAACACCCCTTTAAAAGAGCATTGTAAATGTAGTAAATTACCAATTACTTCAAAGCATGACATCAGCAAAATGTTGGCTATGCTGCAATTTTACTTAATGTTTCCCACAGTACTAAAAATCCACCCCTATGAGATAACTTAAATAGAGCCTTTTCATAAAGGATAAAAGTAAGTTTGGGTGAAAGATAAAAATTGTTTCCATAGATAGAGAGACTTAGATAGATACGAATTAACACGTTTAGGTGTTATTGAGCTTTTGGAGATAGGGTAAAATTGTTTGTATGAACTCAGTCACTAATAATTTCTAAAACATTGGGTTTTGGAGCTATAGCTGTGATTCATTTCCTTTCTGGAACTATAAAATGATCTGTATTTATTGCTATTATTTATATTCAAGTTTTGTGTTCATTTAACAACTTGTCTTTTTCATTTTTCAATGATGTAATATTTTAAGCTATAATCTTACTTATACTTAGCCAGTCATCTCCAAAAGTTTTGCTTCTGAGTGACCACATACACGATTGCCCTATTACTGTATAGTCCTTAAATCCTAATTATATTTCCATGAATTCCTTTTCACTGCAGCTGACTATAACTATCCTATCTGTCTCCCCCCAATTCCTCTTGAGTGGTTTAAGGTCTCTTGAACTGCAGTGCGAGCAGTGCAGGGGTTTGTATTATAAAGATTTTTTTGCAAAGGAGTGCAAATATTATTGAATGTTACAGTAGGGATAAAAAACAACCAAACACAGACATATACTAACACTTTTCTTAACAAGAGTTCTTGTTTGCAAGCAGAACACAATCTGGACACAAATGTTACGAGGGAAAGAAAATAAGGAGCTATACACACATACGCACACACATATCCATATGTGATGTGCTTGTGGAGAAATCTGGGAAGTACTATGTTATTTCTTAGTGGAAAGGTAGAGAAGGAAGAAAAGTAGTGAAAAAAATATGAATGGAAATGTGTATGTGTATGTATATTAGAGTATAGAAGAAGGGAGTGAGGAAACGTATAGTACTAAAATATTTACAGAAAAAGAATCCAAGCATATAGATTTAGTTAAAGAAAAAGTTGAGGAAGGGAACATTGCTGCAGGACCCAAACCAGAAGAGGGGAATGTAGTATCTTACTTTGATTTGAAAAGCAAATAGGAACTTACTGGACAGAAGTGATATCAGAGAAGGGCTGCATTGTGTGGAAAATATGGGCAGCAAAATTTTGAACAAAAGATTTAAAATGGGGGAAACACCATCTTATTTAATGGGTGTGTCCCATCTTTCTGTCATTCTTTGAGACAGTTTATATGTTTTTTTAGCAAGCTGGGCAGAATCTTTATGTGGATCTAGGGGTCCAATCAGCAGACTTTTATTACGGTTGCCTAAGTTGCTGGGCTTCACAGATGGTCCTTAAACAATGCATCAGTGGGGCAAAGAGCAAGCAATTTCCAGAAAGTCCTCCTAGACTAAATCCAAGCAAAGCAGTATGCAGTACTCTAGATAGCAGCAGCTTCTGCCACACAATTTTTCTCAGAGGCAGTTCCTTTATGACAGGTAAGGTTGTCACAGAAGGGAATTTGATGGAATTGCCCTTTTTCTTTGCCGATAAAGAGTATTGATTCTGCTAGTCTTTCCAAGTGGAACAAAGGAAAAATCCTTCCAGGAAGCACTGCCCTAAAACCAGTCCATAAATAGAATGGGTAGATATTCAGGACTTCTTCTCCTGGCTCACTCTTTTTCCCGCAGGCTTCAGAGTCATGACAGTAACAGAAAACAGAGACAAAGCCGTGATCATTGCCCCAACAGTTATTTCTTGGTCACTGGAACAGTGGAGCCAATTCTGTAGGATGAATTACTCTTCAGGAGAGAAGACAGGGCTAAGAAGAATTTCATTTCTGATCCCTTGGCAAGAAACTCCTTTCTGGTCTTAGTTTTGTCTTCTCAGAAAAGACCAGTGGTCTAATAGGCTCCAATATCTGGAGTTGGCCTTTAAATAATGACAAAAGTGAAGAAGAAAGAGCAGTAACAGAGGACAGATTCCAGAAGCTACCACTGTGAGGAAGGAGGCACCCATGCTTTGTGCCCAGCCTCCTTCCCCAGAAACTATTACGCTAAGTAGCAAATAGTTCCTCAGAGTGAAAAATTAAAAAAATAGCCCCAAGGAAACATACCATACCAGGCTAGAGGAACAAGGAAGCAAATAACATTGAATAGTGGAAGTTGAAAGGAAAAATAATGAATGTGCATTATTGATCTTCTGTTGATAATTTTAATTATCACTGGGAACAGCCAAGCAGAAATTACCAAATCATAACTGTATGAGGAAGAAATTACATAAAAATAAATGACAGCAAAATATTGTTTCTGGATTTTTAAACTTAGAATGCTGTTTGATGCAGGCTTTTAAAATAAATGAAGCAACCTGTGACCATCCTACTAACTCAGTTCCCAGCAGCCCAAGCCAGCATGGTTGATAACGAAGGTTGCTGGAAGTTGTGATTCAGCAATATTCGGATGGCCAGAATTTTGTCCACTTTTGTTCTGTGGTAGGGAAAGATAAAATCTCTTTTTGGTTGAGCTGCTGTTTTCATGGATGTGTTGGTGTAGTTTTCTTGGCAACGGTATCAAAGTGGATTGTCTTTGCCTTTTTTCCAGTGTTTTGTTTGTTTCCCAATCTAGTTTACAACCTGGCATTTTCTGGTGATTTCCCACAAAAAAAAAACAAACTAAAAAAAAACAAACTAGCCAGTTCCAATCTTGCTTAGCTTTTTGGGATCAGCCAAGGTTGGTAGGATAATGGCAGTTTAAACAGACCATATACTCATTAAAAAAAATTATAAAACCATAAAAGGATATACATTTTAATGAGTGTATATTTACATTTTATACAGAAACAAGAATGCAGACATCAGAGACTGGGTCGGATACAGGTTCGACAGTTACTTTACAGACTTCCGTAGCTAGCCAAGCAGCTGTGCCTACCCAGGTGGTACAGCAGTTACCAGTGCAACAACAGGTAGGTGCTTTTTGGCTTTGAACTTTTTTGTGCAGTGCCAGTTCAACCCTCCTATATAAGTTTCTTGAAAAGAGTTCTGCTGTTCAGTATTGCAGAGTTTAAATTACTTTGTTATATATTATTCAGGAGAGCATCTGTCCACCTTGTTCTTCATTCAAACTGCTTATTACTACAGTCCAAACTTATTATCATACTTCTGCCACCAAGTATGAAGCTATCTAGGTATAAGAATACATTCATGATTTAGGTTAGAATAATCCAGCTTTCCTAGTCTAATGGTGTTCATATATAGTGCATTCAGAAAGTATTCAGACCTCCTTCACTTTTTTCAATTTTGTTATGTTGCAGCCTGATACCACAATCATTCAAATTTATTTTTTTTCTCATTAATCTACACTCAGTACCCCATAATGACAAAGTGAAAATAGAATTTTAGAAATGTCTGTAAATTTATTAAAAAGGAAAAACTGAAATAAAATAGAATTTTAGAAATGTCTGTAAATTTATTAAAAAGGAAAAACTGAAATAAAATAGAATTTTAGAAATGTCTGTAAATTTATTAAAAAGGAAAAACTGAAATATCACATTGGCATAAGTATTCAGACCCTTTACTCAGTACTTTGTTGAAGCACCTTTGGGAGCAATTACAGCCTCAAGTCTTTTTCGGTATGACACGACAAGCTTTGCACAGCTGGATTGGGGGATTTTCTGTCATTCTTCTTTGCAAATCCTCTCAAGCTCAATCAGGTTGGATGGGAACCGTCAGTGGACAGCCATTTTCAGGTCTCTCCAGAGATGTTCAATAGGGTTCAAGTCAGGGCTCTGGCTGGGCCACTCTAGGACATTCACAGTGAAGCATGTTGGTGGCAGCATCATGCTGTGGGGGTGTTCTTCAGCAGCAGGGACTGGGAGACCGGTCAGGGTTGAGGGAAAGCTGAATGGAGAAAAGGACAGAGATGTCCTCAATGAAAACCTATTCTGCAGTGCTCAGGACCTCAGACTGGTCCGAAGGTTCACCTTCCAAAATGACAACAATCCTAAGCACACAGCCAAGACAACACAGGAAAAGCTTAGGGACAACTCTGTGAATGTCCTAGAGTGGCCCAGCCAGAGCCCTGACTTGAACCCTATTGAACATCTCTGGAGAGACCTAAAAATGGCTGTCCACTGACGGTTCCCATCCAACCCGATTGTGCTTGAGGGGATTTGCAAAGAAGAAAGACAGAAAATCCCCCCATCCAGCTGTGCAAAGCT